TTGCCCCCAATGAGTGAGGAAACTGCTGACTCTTCTTAGTTTGACAAAAGGGAATGACAGTGCACATGTATGGTGGTGGTGGAGTGTGTGTGGGGTATGTGGGGGTGGAGGGTGGTGGTATCAGGCTCACTCTCAGTTTTCCATGGCATATGGGTCCCAGGGGTTGAAGGAGATTCATGTGCTGGTTCCCTATTCCGTGGCTGCAATTGGGCTGAGCCGTTAGGGCCGGAAAGGACCTTAGGAGTCACGTGGTAAACATCCCATTTTAAAAATGAGGAACGTGGGGGCCAGGGAAGTGAGGTGACCTGTGAAAGGGCCCCGGATAAAAGCTGGGCCTCAGCTCATCCACTGCAGCAAGTGATAAGGAAGAAAGGAGCAGGTTGCCAGGGGTGCCGTGATTACTCTCTCTCTCTCTCTCTCTCTCTCTCACACACACACACACACACACACACACACACACACACACACACGCACGCAACCATCCGTTTTCCCAACCCTCCGGGTCTCAGCCGTCTGGGATGTTTTCCTGGAGCCCTACTGGCCGGAATTCTCGTGAGATTAGGTCCCTGGCCTTCTGGTTGAGACCGTCATTCAATTACCGCCGTGTTAAGTGCACCAGAGCCCAGCAGAAGGGGGGGTGACGCTCACGTCTGTCCCCAGCTCTGGCCTGGCTCTTGTCTCAGAGCTGCATCCACAGAGCAGACCACCGTTTCCTGGATGTCTTGAGTTCATCCCGGACTGCAGTGAACTCTGACGAGGATGGAAAAAATCAGCTCCCAGTATTGGCTTCACTCTGTACACAAATGAATGGCTTTATGCGGGCTCAGAGATCCAGTTCTGAACTCAGGTGCCTTGCTGGAAGCCACAGCATTCCAACTAGGGTCCTTGCTTTTAGTGCTCCTTCACCCCGACTCCAGAGATCAGAACATGCACCCCCGGGAGGTCCCTCCAGGCACTCAATCTCCCGATCCAAATCTTTCAGGTTTCCTATGCCGTGCAAAACAAAATCCAAACCCTTCTACTCAGACTCAAGAAACATGAGCCCCTGAACCTTGTGCAAAGTTTGAGAGTCTGGGGTGCCCTGGAGGTGAGCCCAGGGCCCGCCCAACCAGTGCCCCTGCAGCCAAACGCCTCCACACTCCACAATTGCCACTAGGCTCCTGGCTGGACCCCATCGTTAAAGATGAGCCTCCTGCAGAAATTAATCTGTTGAAAAACTCAGGTTTGTGACCGAAATCTCCAGGCTGTCACAAAATCAGGGATGGGCTCTCCCCTCCCCCCCACACACCATGTCCCTGTAGTCATGCACATGCCCCAAAGTTGCCACTTAACTCCAGCTGTATCAATCACCTCATTAAAAATTTTGGATTTCCAAGAGAGTGACATCCCAACCTCTATAACATAGATAAACCCAGGAGTAGCACACCAGACTGGATGGGAGGTAATGGAGAGGGCAACCCATCTCGATTAACAAAATATCAACACAGAAGGCTTAACCCGTCACAAGAGCTTACACATCTCTTCTCCAAGGCTTAACATCTTCATGGTGAGATACGACAATCGTCACTAGCTTTCTTCTTGGAAACATTTTTCTTGTTTGTTTTATTTTTGGGTCACACCTGGTGATGCACAGGGGTTACTCCTGGCTCTGCATTCAGGAATTACTCCTGGCTGTGCTCACGGGACCATATGGGATGCTGGGAATTGAACCCGGGTTGGTCGTGTGCAAGGCAAATGCCCTACCCGCTGTGCTATTGCTCCGGCCCCAAGAAACATTTTTCGATCATTCTTTTAGCAAATTATTTCTAACAAGCAATATGAAATACATTACTGAGGACAAGGAAGGAAGGAAAGAAGGAAAGAAGGAAGGAAGGAAGGAAGGAAGGAAGGAAGGAAGGAAGGAAGGAGAGCCAGGGAAAGATGTAGTATCAGAGTTGAAATGTTCAGCGCCAACTAGATGTCAGATACTGGGCTGTGTGCTAGAGGTATGGCGGCTGCACAGGACACGCCTCCATCCCATTTCCCAGGAGATGGACACAGGAAACAGTGTGTGTGTGTGTGTGTGTGTGTGTGTACTTTGTAGTCTAGGAGGACACAGAAATCAATCATAGAAACTACTGTGTGTGCATAAGTAGGAAGGAAGGAAGGAAGGAAGGAAGGAAGGAAGGAAGGAAGGAAGGAGGTAGGGAGGGAAGGAGGGAGATAGGAAAGTAAGGAGGGAGAAAGGTACGGAAACAAGGAGGGAGGAAGGGAAGGAAGAATGGAAAAAATGAGAGAGGGAGTGAGGGAAGAAAGGAAGGAGGGAGGGAAGAAAGGATGGAAAGAATGAGGGAGTGAGGGAAGGAAGGAAAGAAGGAAGGAAGGAAGGAAGGAAGGAAGGAGGGAGGGAGGGAGGAAAGGAAGTAGAGAGAAGATAAGAAGGAAGGAGGGAAAGAAGGAAGAAGACCTTTCTATTCTAGGAGAGGGTTACAGAAAATCACAAGCACTACAATGTGTGTGTGTGTGTGTGTGTGTGTGTGTCCAGGTTTAGGGAACACTTTGGGATGAAACAGGAAAAGTACTTAGCCCACACTGGGGCAGGCGAGGAGGTGGGAGGAAGGGCAGGGAGAACCAGGGAGCAGGGCTGAGAACAGGGAGCGCCGATTTCCCGGAGAAAGGCAGTGCGACATATGAGGGAGGGCTAAACCTCTCACGGCCTTGACCTGAACTCCTCCTCCATGCTGCCGGTCAGGCTTCCTCGTGCTCTCTGCCCCTCTGCTCACCTTGCAACGTTGTCAAAGTTCAGCTCCGGGAGCACTTCCCCGGGCTGTTGGACCATCCCGCTCGAAACGACCTCTCCCCGGGCTCGTACTTTTGGCCCGTACTTGGGCCCCTACTTGGGAGTTGCTCAGAGGATTTTCAGGGTGAATCTCTCACCCTGGTTTTCCGGTGTGTAAGGCTGAAACCGATCCCTCAGTCTGCAGCACCACCCCCCTCCCCCCCATCCCAACGGGCACCTCCTCGCTGAGTCTCCACCACACAAAGGCTGTTCCACTCACCTAGACACTCTCCTCTGTCCCAGCCTTGCCCCAGCCTCCCAGTCCTGGGGCCCACTGCCTCTCGTGCCACCCGCCCTCGTCTCTAGCTCGAGACAACAGACTCGGTCCCTTCCATCCCAGGGTCCTTCCAGCTACAAAGCCCACCCACGGGCAATGCTTCTGCACGGCTCTGCGTCCGGCCCTGCTTCTTCTTAAGTCAGCTGTGAGGTCACTGATGGAGAATGTGCCAACACAATAAAGAACCTGAGCAGTGCCCGAGACTCTCCACCAGCCACGGGAACGTCAGTCAAAACCCAGCAGGGTCGGGGCTGGAGCAATAGCACAGCAGGTAGGGCGTTTGCCTTGCACGTTTGATTCCTAGCACCCCATATGGTCCCCCAAGCACCCAAGATTAATTCCTGAGTGCAGAGCCAGGAGTAACCCCTGTGCATCGGCGGGTGTGACCCCAAAAACAAAAACGCAAAAAACAACAACAACAAAAAACCCTAGCAGGGTCTTGGTTTGCCTGGCATGAAGAATTCCCCAGGGGCACTAAGGAGGTTGCGACCTTTCCCTCCAGAAAGGCCTTGGCCTCTTTTAATTTCCACTGGAACAGAAAAGGGAAGTGGTTTGCTTTTCTTTCTTTTCTTTTTTTTTCTGCATTAAACTAAAAGGAACCACTTAGGCTCCTCTGAGTTTTAGTTCTCTGAGTTCTGCCCAAGGTTATTTCACAGCTTTCTTATTCTCAGGCTACAGGAAGGCTGAAGGAAGGATTTAGGTTCCTTTGTGTGCTGGTGCAAAACCTTAAGATGAACCCGATGTTTCAGAGATCAAAGCCTGCCAAGTTTCAGTAACGTCTATACTTCTGGGGGAAACTTCCCCCTGCGCGTTTCCTCATAGAAACGGTCTGTGGCAACGGGGAGAGAGGGGAGAAAGGGTTCCATATCCTTATCTCACCCCTGAGAGGGAACATTTCCTCATGACGGTTAGTTTATTAGTGTCTGGCGGGCCTCCAGGGGTAAATAAAGGTTTGACATAGTTGGGGATTAGGCCAGAACCTTCAGCAGGAACTCTGCCCTTTGTCAAGGAAAAAAAAAAAAAAAAGGGTGGTGGTGGGGGGCTGTGGGTGTGGGGGGTGGGAGCTGCCACTGCGAGTGACATCAAAGGGCACTGGCCCCATGAGACTCCCTAGCACGGTCCCCAGGGACACTTCCAGAGGCCCAAACCCAAGACCCAAGAGCCCCTCGGACCTGCAGCCTTCCCACAAAGCCCTCTTCCTCCGTGGCCAGAGCTGGGGACGTGCCTCAGGCCCGGCTGCTTGCTCCCAAACAGAGACTTTTGGGGGACTGTGAGGGGATCCTCAGAGCCCTGGTCTGACTCATCTCCCTCCGTGGATGAGTCTGTGCACATGTCTACCGGATTTTCCTGGCGTTCTGAAAGAAAACGTTACTTCACCAGATTGAGCACTTCCGAATGGAAACCACCAGAAGGTCTTTCTACACTTGCCTGAATTCCTGGGTCACCCCCTGTGGTCGCAATTCCCCCCTCCTTACCACCATTTCTAGGCTCCTGAACCCACGTCTCTCTCTCTCTCTCTCTCAGCCCTTACTGCCTCTCTCCTCATGTCCTTGCTCCTGACTGAGCCATTGGCCACCTACAATCTGCAGCCACCTATGTCTGATTCAAATGCCACTGCACCAGGGGGCAAGGCTGAGGCGGAAGGGCCCAAGACAGGCACTTTCCTCCTCAGGTGGTAGCTCAACTGGTTGCTGAAGTTTCAGTGTTGAAAGGCCTGATGGCCACTTCTGACCTTAAAAGAGCCCCCCAAATGTAAAAGGCTTGCCAAACAGTCTCCCCTGAGGCAGGAAACACTCCCTTAGTCCCATCTTTGTGCCCATGGTCACCTCCTGAGGAGATTCCTCAGGTAGGACGGGGAGCAGCCAGTTTCCTCCCCACTGGCCAGCAGGTTTCCCTGACTCTCACCTGAATGAGGAGATCGGTAGCGGAAGTCCTCTTTGGTCAGCAGCAGGAGCGCTTTGCCATTCATCTCAAACGTGTTGCTGTCGATGGGCCTTAGAGAAAACTCACTTTCAGCCCACTTGAGCCACTGGGCTACGTCATCCCTGCTCCAGTAAACTGGCTGCAAGCCTGTTGGAGAGAAAGCCAGGCAGAAAGAAAGGGCTGGTCAGTGAAGGCAGTTGGGAGGAAGGGACGAGATTCCTGAGTGGCTGCCTCTGTCTGTATTTGAAGAGCTGGCATGTGCAACTTTGAAACCCAAGGGAAAAACTCTAGTTTCAGGGCTGGAGTGGATAGGACAGCAGGTAGGGCACTTGCCTTGCACGTGGCTGACCCAGGTTCGATCCCTCGCACCCCAGATGTTGTCCTGAGCACCACTGAGAGTGATTCCTGAGTGAGAGGCAGAGAGTAACCCCTAAGCACTGCCAGACGTGGCCCCTCAAACCCAAAAAAACAAATGAAACCCCAACAAAACTCTAGTTTCCTAAGTGTCTGAAACAGCAAGATGAGGAAAGTAAACGGTCTTGTACTCCCCACAGGCCCAGCTCCGGGGGTGGGGGGGTGCCCCAAAAGGTGCCTCTGGGTGGGGCCCCAGGGAGCAAAGACCTACAGCTTTCACAAGGGACCTGAATCCCGGCTGATCTGATGGGAGCTCAGTGGCCTTTGGAAATGGGAATGTTCCAGGGCTGGCCTTGACCTTTCAGAGCTGCCAGATAATGAAGTTCCCCGAAACGATTTCCAGGAAGAACAATCTACATGGCCTCTGGGAAACGGCCAGCCGGGCCCAGCATCTGGGCAGAGTGGGCAAGGCCAGGAAAAAGGCTCCATTCTGCCTTCTGAGTCCGCTCAATGACACGCCGGCTGCCCACCTCACCGATGGACCAGAATGAGCCCCAGTGGGGTGGGAGCGAGCCTGGGTCTCTGCCAGCCCGAGAGGGTTTCTTCGTTCCCTGGTGTGCTCTCTTGGGGGAATCTTGGCTACCCAATGGGGGTTCTCAGAGTGAGACGGGGAGGACTCCTAAGGGGAACCAGACAGTGTTTGGGAGACCCAGAACCCCAACCAGGCCAGTGGCTCAATGCCAAGGCCTTGGGATACAATATTGCTCGGGCCCTGCATTGCTATAGGAATACACCCAAGCCACCCGGGGGTGGGGTGTGGGGGAGGACACCTGGAGATGCTCAGATGACAAGTGAAGATGGGAATCAGAGTCACTGCACACCCAGTGAGTGCCCCCCTCACCCTTCTACCCCATGCCCATCCCCAAGGGACATAGAATAGTAACACTGCTCTCAGATTTTTAGTCTCAAAACACTGCCACAATGGGACTCAAGGTTCTTTTTTGGGTGCTTGGTGGTCAGGGGGATCTGCCCAGGAAGCACACAGTCCCCAGCAGTGAGAAGTGCCCCTAGTCTTGTCAATGACCTTAAGAACAAATCCCAGTGAAATGGGATTGGCCGAGGATGAGGGGTGGGGGATGGGGGGTGGGCCACGCGTGTGTCCTGCATTCTGCATGATCTCAACTTCCAAACCGGGGAAAGGTGGTTTCCTGTTGTCCACGGGGTCACTTTTGAACAGGACCAGCTGTGGGGACTTTCCACTCCCCACCTCCGCCCGGAGAACATGGGGATAGTCAGACCCCTGGGGACCCAAGGGGAGGTGCCCGTGGGCCTGGTCAAGGAGGGAGCTTGGTGTCCCCAGGACCTCTGCCTCATCAGGGCAGGGCCCAGAGTCTGGGGCCTGTGGGCTCCAAATGCAAATACAGAACCGAATCCCCCCTGGAGGAGAAATGAGAGTGAAATGCTGAAGTATGGGAGGAAGATTTGTTGAAGTGGAAGGCGGGTGTGAAGTGGGCGGGGGACTCAAGTAGTAATTTGAGGTTCTTTTTATTCACTGCAAGAAAATACTCATGAGTAATCTTTTCCCTAAATACAAGAAGGGTCACACACTCCCAGCAGCCCAGCCGGCTGACAAGTTTCTCTTTTCACTTCCCATTCTCTCTCCCCCAGCCCCGTCCCCGAAGCAAGCAGGACGCGATGAGAAAGGCCCCTCACCAGGAACCATCCTTCCAGAAGGTTTGAACACGTGTGAGAGGGGCCCACCCAACTCTGAGATGACGCCATATCCGTCCACGTCTACTTAAGCTCCCACATGGCCATGCTCCACCAGAGACACACAAACAAATCTCGGACCCGAGCAACTTGCTGCAGCGATCTCTTCAGACCCTAATTATTAAAATTTTCACGGCCGTGTGACATTATATTGTACCCATAACAAGCAATACAAAACACGCTGTCTAGCATTGCCTTTTCGGCAGGTATGAGGGGTAGTGGGACTGGTCTCGAAATTTCGAAGGTAACTAAAGTAGAGAAAGAGAGTATTGTGCAAATTGTCTGCCACACTGGCAAGGGGAGATGTGGAATGGAAGTGGGGGGATACTGGGGATTTTCGTGGTGGAAAATGTGCACTGGTGAAGGGATGGGTGTTTGATGACTGTATGATGGAAGCTCAGACATGAAAGTTTTGTTACTGTACCTCACAGTGAATCAAATAAAAAAAAAACAACAAAAAACCAAAAAACAGGGTGCCCCATGCCAACTGTGTGGGCACTCTTAGTGATCCCCATGGAGCAGGGCAGCTGAGCTGAGCAGGTCAGCACTGTCTGAGCAGAAGGTGGGTGTCCACTCTTAGGAGAGGCCTGGGAGACCCCGAAGTCCTGTGTCAAAATCCCTTGACTTTCCTTTTTAACTGGAGGCTACAAAGGTGACGCTGAAAACAACAGGATTCACTCCCAGACTCACCGGAACTGGAAACTGTGGGCCCTGGAGGGGCAGCGGTGGGGGTGGTCTGGGGGGAGGGCCAAGGAGAAAGGTCTCTGGGGGAGGGAGTGGGGTGTCACTGGAATGCTGGTGGCAGGAGTGACAGGTCAATCCAGTGGGGGTACAGCTCGACGCCCGACATTCCATGACTTTGGAAACAATCCCGAGTCCGTGATAATAATAAAAATGGTTGCTAAAACACGGAAATGGAAGTTTTGTTTCCCAAACTCTAAGGGCGCTAAGACCCTGGTGTTAAAAGCACATAAGTGGGACGGAGCCTGGTCCAGGAGGTTACGGTACTCAGGAGGCCCATTTCACTCATTCAATCACTTTTCTGAATTTCATTGCTTTGCAAGTGCCTAAGCCCTTCATCCATAGGACCTGGTGGAACTGCGTGTTCCAGCCTTGCTCCCAAGGGAGTGCAGTAGACTGAAGGGGTCTGTCCGAGGCCATAGTGGCCAGAGTAAGAAGGACTGGGACTAGAACCCAGGCAGTCTGGTCTGAGAGGGAGAGTCTGCGTTCTTATCCCCCACCCTGGCCAATGCCCACACCCAGGCCGACTCGGACCTTTCCCAACCCAAGTCAGAATCATGATTGATTTTTAGTGTTTCTTTGGGATTCACAAATGACAGAGTGAATGGAATACTCCCCATTATCTAAGACTTGATTCTTAGAGGCTTTCTAAGTTATCCACAGACTGAAAGGGGGGTGGAGAGGGAGGGGGAGAGAGAGAGAGAGAGATAGAGAGAGATAGAGAGAGAGAGAGAGAGAGAGAGAGAGAGAGAGAGAGAGAGAGAGAGAGAACTCAAAATACTGTAGCTCTCTGGAGAAAGAGATTTATAAATGGGAAGAGGACGAAGCTATAGGCAGAAATCTGGTTTTAACCATCCAGGAATACAGACTGTCCTGGGGCCTCAGGGTCCCAGCCACTGGTCTTGAGTTCTCCAGGCTAACGTGATAAGGGGCAAGAAAAGGCAGGATTACCACTGTCCTATTGTTATCTCTTGCAACTTCAACTGAACCAAGTTAAGGAATATAAATGTTAACAAGACGAGTGAGTGAGTGAGGAGAGAATCAGACAGAGTAGAGCAGATTATTCTGCACCCAGGTGATGCGACACAGAACAACTCAGTGAGAACCATCAAAAGCCATTTTTGGGGAGCAATAGCACGGCAGGTAGGGCGCTTGCCTTGCTCATGGCCAAGCCACGTTTGATCTCTGGGTGGCCCAGATGGCCCCCTGAGCCCACCACAAGTGATCCCTGATCGCAGAGCCAGGAATCCGTCCACAGTATCACCAGGTATGATGGCAAACCCCACACGAAAACCAATCCATCCCCCCCCCCCCGCCCCCACCAATGTATTTCAGGTCAGATCTGAGATGCAGTTGGTCCAGAGAAAAACGAGCTGTGCTGGGGAGGAAAGTTACTGAGCATTCCAGGGCCCGGTGTGTCCCCAAGTGGGTGGAGTTGTGTTCACGGTGTCACACACTCCCTTCTGTCCAGGACACGCCACAGATGTCCTTCGAACATTCCAAGCCGCATTGAGCAGCACGTCCCGAGCCGACCAAGGATGCTGGGAGCCAAGCGCCTGACCTTGGCTCTCAGCTCGGTCTGCCACTGACCACCACAGGACGCTGGGCCGGAGACTGGGACTTTTCCCAGTTCCGTACCTTCTGCCACTCTCTGTGCATTGGGGCCAGCAGCTAGTTTACTTGATCCCTTTCTGGGGGTGGAGGGGGGGAAACCGAGTCGATGCTCCCATTTCATTTTGATCACAAAAAACACAAAGGATTCCAATAGTTGGGCCCTCAATGTCTCTGGCTGGCAATAAGACCAAGATGTGGCAATTTCCTGAAGGAAAGCACGTGGCGTGACGGTAAACGAGACGTCCGTGTCTTGGGGTGTTTTAGTGTGTCCTAATTCCTGGAAAAAGCTATGTCCCAGCGCCGGCAACCATCAACCAAACATTTTGACAAGGTGTTTTCACACATATTCTCCCGAAGCCCCGGGAAATCTGCGGGATTCAAGTTTCTGCTTCAGAGATGAGGAAAGGAGGGGCTCAGAGCAAGAGATGGCTGGTGTGGGGCGTAGCAGAAACCCTTGCTCTACCGCAGATGTCCTGGGTGAAAAGCAGCCTCACGTCAATTGTCTGAAGCATCGACAGGCACGTCACCAAACGGGGTTACTGATACTGACGTGTTGAGGGCTGAGAGGGACACGTTCTCGTGCCAAAGGTCACCTCAGTGCAGCTGGACACTGACCCTGTGACCCTGTGGCCAGCTTACAGGTGTTCTGACCTCGGTCCCTTGGAACA